ACCAAGACACTCAATAGTCCTCTCTTCCCATACTCATGACTTTGAGTATTAAAGACAATCTCAAAAGACAGTCTATCAGAAACCCAGATATTCTAATTAGCACATTTCCCAATACTGCATTTCACTTCTCTAACGCATCTAAAACTTCATTTTAAACTAATATTACATTTTACACAATGAGCTTTGTGTACCAAATGCAACTATTAAATAGCTATTGAATGTTTCAATATTTGAGCCTAGGAAATATGGCAGATGAAATCTTCTTTTAACTAGTTTCCACCCCCTCTTCAAATTTAGGTGTAATTTTTGATCTTAGGGGTGGCATGCATTTCCTGTTATACAATCTTAATTAAAGCTGGTCCCTTCCCTTGTTTTTTCCACTAGAGAGTCTATTTCATCTCTATTTATTTCCATTTACATAAATACTTGTCTCTTCTACCTTGACTTTTCCTCCAAAACTTAACAGAAGCAAGGCAATACACATTCCTAAAATTCTCAAAGCTCTTCTGTTTCCCCATCCCAGGTACCAGTTTTTCATGGGTAGGTTGTTCAGGAGTCAGGCCTTCTGATACAATGTTTTGCAGAAAGAGAGCACCTTCTGCTCTTTGCACATTCACGCATATTTTTCAAGACCTGTTAAGTCCTCAGGGTGCATTTTCCTCCCCCGAAGTTGTTATATAGGTTAAAATTCATATCAATCTATCTTTAGAATCTCAAAGCAAACCTGCTGATGGCAAAGGTCGGAAGTTCCCAGGCCGTGAGTGACACATGCATTCTTATATCTGCAGTTACAACCTAGGAGACATGAACCCTAGAGACTACCTATTGTGCCAGTCTCCTGAGGTCACAAAAAAGACAATTAAAATTAATCACCATCTTCTGATGTAATTCTAATATACTACAAAACCTGCAGAAAAAAACTTACAAGAGTATTAGGAGCACTCCATATAAAACAATTTATATTTAAAAGTCCCCAGCCCTCTGATAACTCCTACATATTTCTATACTTATGAGAATATATATAATTTTAAGATAATTGTTATCAGATACTGATTGAGTGACTTCATATGTTGAAACATGGTCAGAGTGCATGGTATTGAAGAAGAACCCACTAAAAGCTAAAAGGGATTCAGGGTGATCTCTGGATCCCCTACAGAAATTGGCCCCAACATGGGGCCATCCTTTGCTGGCTGCAACATTGCTATCTCCTGAACTGCTGTAGCTGAGACCCTGGACCACTAAGGAAAGGCCTACAGAGGGCAGCATTTCTTCTGTCAGCTTGGTGGATCTCTGCTGTAGGGGCTGGTTGAGAAGAGCAATAAGACCCTGTCTTTTTTCTCTCTCTAAATTGTAATCGGCAGGAGAAAACATGTGTGAACTAGCTCTTCCATAAAAAGTGACTTTTGGTGTTCTTGTGAATATTCTTCATTTCTATTTGATACTTTTGATCTCAGAAATAGTCTGTTTTCTTTTGTCTTTTTCTTTTTGTGTCATTTGTCATAAGGAGAAGAACCATAAGGTAGCACACACTGATATAGGTCAGTCTGAAAAGACTGAGGAATGGAGGCACATGATTTTAAGTAGAATTTTCTTTGTCCAAACATGCCAAGCTCTCATGGTTTTTTTGAATCTCAACCTTGTTCCTTGGATTTGTGCTTGGAAATTCCCATCCCAGTATTGTCTGCCCAGTGTCACAGATTATCAGGTCAAAGATGGAAGGTGTCTCACATTCAGTGAAAGAGGAGAGACATGAGAGTGAATTTTTGGATCATGGAGGCTGCACTTTCTGCACTCGCTCCAGGAAGACCCCCTGTATCCCTAGTAAAGGTTTATTCTAATCCCAGTCAGTTACCTCCTGGTCTCTCCATAAAAATGTGCACACGAATGTTCATTGCAGCACTGTTTACAATAGCAAAGACCTGGAACCAATCCAAATGCCCATCGATGATAGGCTGGACAGGGAAAATGTGGCACATATACACCATGGAATATTATGCAGCCATCAAAAACAATGAGTTCGTGTCCTTTGTAGGGACATGGATGAACCTGGAAACCATCATTCTCAGCAAACTGACAGAAGAGCAGAAGATCAAACACCGCATGTTCTCACTCATAGGCAGGCGTTGAACAATGAGAACACATGGACACAGGGAGGGGAGCACTACACACTGGGGTCTGTTGGGGGGAAATAGGGGAGGGACTGTGGGGGGTTGGGAGTTGGGGAGAGATAGCAAGTGGTGAGATGCCAGAAGTAGGTGATGGGGAGGAAGGCAGCAAGTCACACTGCCACATGTGTACCTATGCAACAATCTTGCATGTTCTTCACATGTACCCCCAAACCTAAAATGCAATAAAATTAATTTAAAAAAAAATGCTTGTTGGATTAAGTCACCGTTGGACTATACACACCAGCGAAGATGCTAATTATCAATGGAAAAAAAGCAGATATTTTGAATTAGAGACTTCTATATTTTAAAAAAATGTAGAGAACTCTCATTTTAAACAATTGGCCTATTGGTATTTATGGGAAGATCAGATAGAATGAGGAGCTCAGAAAAGCATATGACTAGTCTAAAAAAAAAAATCTTAACAAAATAAAAGAACAAACAGCAGACCTAGAGCAAAAGTTGAAATCTGCTTCCACTATAAGTCCTCCTGCTCCACCCACTTACATCCCTTTTGATTCCCAGCTCCGTCCCTAACCAAGCAGAAAATCTGTTGGATCTCTGGGCCTCTGGTTTGAACACCTGGAAGCAGCTTTTTTCTCCAGTGATCTTACAGTTTCCTCTCTGGTGAACCGTCAATGCCTTCAGAGCATGGTGATTCTGCAGTATAGTGGAGGCCAAGAGGCCAAACAGTCCACTTCTGATTAGAGTGTTTTAATTTTTTAACTTATTTACATTCAGGGGTACACGTGCAAGTTTGTTTTAAAGGCAAATTGGTGTCACAGGCATTTGGTATACAGATTATTTTGTCACCCAGTTAATAAACATAATATCCGATAGGTAGTTTTTCATTCCTCGATTGGAGTGTTTTTAGCCTTTGAACCAAACATGCATGCCAAAACTGCACCTAACAAAATCGTCATTATATTCTTAACGTCATTAAATACCCAAACCATGTTTAAATTACTCCAGTTGTCTCAACAACATATTTTTCCAAGTTAGTTTGGATCAAGAGTCAAACAGATATGGGTGTTATAGCCAGTTTACTTTATTATGTAACCATTCTTTGTGTGAAAGCCTGTCTGTGTCTGTGTCTGTGTGTGTGTACGTGTGTACTCACATATGTGCAAGCTAGGTAATTTTTTGTGGGGGAAAATAATAATTATGCAGCACTCTATTTTGCTTAGTCCTTTATTTTGTGTCATTTTATTTATATCTGCATCAATTGTTTTAAACTAATGTTGAGATCAATGATATTTATTAGCTTAGGTTCATTCTTTTAGTTTCTTTTAACAAAGCAAAAATTTTTCATAGAAGGTTCTGGCTACTGTCTGTTGCAGTCTGTTGGGAAGCACATAACTGGTTGATGATAACTGTTTGTCCAACTTTTAGTGATGATCATTCTGATCTCTGGATTCAGGTTGTGTCAACTTAATTAGTTCATCTTAAAATTACCCACAAACACCCGCCTCTGAGGAAGGCAGCAAATCACACTGCCATGTGTGTACCTATGCAACAATCTTGTGTGTTCTTCACATGTACCCCAAAACCTAAAATGCAATAAAATAAATAAATGGAAAAAAATGTTTTACCCACAAACATTTTGCCTAATGATTTCTTGTCTGTTGAAATCATTACCTTTATTCAATTTTAAATGTGGAATTCCATGATTGTGATTGTCTAATTTCATCCTTATGCCCTTATGTTTTTATTTCTTCTGAATGTCACCTCATTAATTGGTAGATGATGCTGAAATGCAATTCACATAGGAGAAAAGAGAATATATATATATACAACTTTTATATATATATAATTTATATATATATACATAATTTAGTTATCTGTTTTCAGAGTAATGAATTAGTACGCTGATAATCATTGATATTAAACAATGGTTTATTCATTTCTTTTCTTTTTTAGTATCTAGATTTAAACATATATGAGGACTTTAAATCAATTGTAATCAGTATTCATTTTTATGTTTAAAAATTCTTTTTCTGACTACAAACCAGCATCAGCCATTTCAAATTGCTTCCTATAGTCTCTTTGAGGCAATCTGATTAGATGCTGATAGCATTCTAGCTCTCTGGAGCATTAAACTGCCCAAAGCTCATCTTGCCTATTTTCTACCCTAGACTTCAAATTAGCCATTTCTCCAAGAAGCCCTAGTTTTGTTTATAGGGAAAAGTTTTCTTTTTAGGGAAAATTTGCGGAATATTGCTTGAATTTTTATAGTATTTGTTACCAAATATTTGTGTTTATTTGGTCATTCACATAAAAGTTAGAAAAAAAAATTTGAAATATGATTTCTCAGTGTTCCCAGATTTAATGTTTATTTTCATTCATTTTGTATAAACTGGACTAGACAAAACTTGTAGATATCTCTGGACCTGATAATACTGGGCATGCTATATTTTGAGTAAGAGTATTCAAGTTCAGTCTACACATATTGAAATTATAGCATCGATTGTTCTTTCCAAGGGACACAAATAGTTTCTATTACCGCTCCTACAAACAGCCTCAGAAGTACTCGAGAATCCTAGATTTGGAGCCAACAGAGTTAAGTTCCTGTCTTAAATTAGCCACTTCGGCCATTCTAGGCTAGTTTCTTAAAGTTTTGATGGATCATCTATGGAATAGATATAATCGTGCTTGTCCTGTTTACTTCTCAACATAGGCTAACTGTTGTAAGAGCAAGGCTTCTTAGTCAAATAATTCACAAAACTTAAGGAATGGAGGTGTCAGAAAAGAATTATTCCCCTGATATCACACATTATATCCACACGTATCTCCTAAAAAGGACACAATGCTTCAGAGACACACAACACAAATAACTTCAAAGGCAAGGCATTTATTGCCAGACACATTAACAAATGAAAAAAAATTTTTTTTTTCTGGCGAGTTATCACCATTCTTCCAGTAACTTTATTCCACATGTTGAATAATCTATTATACTTTGCAGTATGTTTGAGGATTTGTTTTTTAAAAAACTTGAAGAAATCAATGCTTTGTGGATCAAAATTATGTAAAATTTATCCTGGAATTAAAGCTCCTTGGCTTCTTCAAAGGATTTGAATTTATCAATTCACATGTCACAATTTCATAATACCTCATACAAATATATGCTCTAGACTTTAGAAGTATTTTAGTCTCTGTTTGGGTTGTTCATTTAGATTGAAAACAACTTTTGAGATCGGTTCAGTGAAATGGAACTTTTGTGTGTATTAATTTCCGGAAAGCATCCTTCACGTCTTTGTTTCTTAGGCTGTAGATCAGAGGGTTTAGCATGGGGTTGACAACTGTGTAAAATACAGAGGCCACTTTTACTGTTTGCCGAGAGTTTTTGGAGTTGGGTACACAGTAAAGAGAGAGGATGGTCCCATGGAAGATGGTGATAGCAGTCAGGTGGGAGGCACAGGTGGAAAATGCTTTGTGGCGCCCACTGGCAGAGCGTATTTTTAGTACCGTCACAAAAATAAAAACATAGGAAGTGAGGATGATCAGTAGTGTACTCACCTCGTTGAAGGTGGCAAAGCCAAAAAGCAGCAGCTGAGGGATGAGTATATCAGAGCTAGAGACAGCGATGAGAGCGGTATACTCACAAAAGAAATGGTTGATCACATTAGGTCCAGAAAAGTTTAGCCGGAGAGCATAACAGAGGAGTACCAAGGGGCCAAACATGCCCCAGAGATATGACCCAGCCACCAGCAGGGCACAGAGCCTCTGTGACATGGCCACTGTATAAAGCAGAGGATTGCAGATGGCCACAAAGCGGTCATAGGCCATCACTGCCAGCAAGAAAGACTCTGTCACCACAGCAGTGCAGGACAGGAAGTATTGCATCATGCAGCTAACGTAGAAGATGCTTTTATCTGCCATTACCAAGTTCTCAAGCAGCTTGGGAGTGACAATGGAAGAGTAACAAAAATCAACAAAAGAGAGGTGACTCAGGAAAAAGTACATAGGAGTGTGAAATTTGGGGTTAATCTTGATGATTACTATCATCCCAAGGTTTCCTACTATGGTGATCACATACATGAGCAGAAACACAAGGAAGAGAGGAATCTGAAGCTCTGGGTAATCTGTGAAACCTAAGAGGGCAAAGTTGGGCTCCATGCTCAGATTTCTTAAAATCATCACCATAATTCCTTTCAATGGGCGGAATTGTTCCTGCCAAAGCAAAACATGGGGTGAGTAATAATGATGTCATGACTTTCTATGATTGAAAGAAAAAAACAAGAAGTAGCAGTTACTGGTTCTAGTTTTATCCAAGAAGAACATGTCTCATACAGGTAGCTGCTACTTCTATATCAAACCAAGCTGAGTCTTTGAAGTGTCTTTGCATTTTTATTAGACTTTCTGTTTTCATATATATATATATATATACACACTCACACACATATGTGTGCGTATGTGTATGTGTATACGGTAGTATATCCATCCATACATTAGCTAGTATCATAACATATGACATGCACATAACTTACAGGAAATTATTATACATATATATAATATATATATAAACTAATAAAGATTCTGTGAAAAATGTAAAATATTTACTTCAAACAACAACATACATTGATACTGTATTTGTTTGTATAGACAAATTGAATAAAATATTTAGAATATGTCTCTGTTCTAAGGATAAATGAAAATGTTGAAGAAATCTAGAAAAAGAGCACACTAATTCCACTTTTTACCAACTTTTATTCTATAAAGGCTTCTTCTCTCCTTGAATATCTTAGTTGCTGAGGGGTTGAGAAGGATATGGCCTACTTTTGATCTCTTAGTGAAGTGGGCATTTTATTGGGGTTTATGACTTAAGGGTTAGCATCTACTATAGCTCAGGTATTGCATTAAGTATCTTGCAAGAGTCTCAAGATTTATCAGGTGAAGGTTCTCTCAACCCTAACTGGTTTTCAATTGTATAAAAGTTTGCATACTAATTTAATATGAATATAAAGGAAATATGGATAAATATCCATTTCTAAGTAGCAAGTTTATACTATTCATCATGAGATAATTGTCAATGGATATGAGAACAAATATTCTCATTAGTGTTGACCTCATTTTTTAATGATATTGGGATCAGAATTGAATAACACAGTGATTTAACATTTAAAAAATCAAAGGCCCCAGTTACCATGTCAGAAAGACACTATTTTCAGTTTCATAGAAAACCCAGATAAACTTACCTACTACATACAAAGAAACAGGCTGCCACCCTCCTGTCTCTGCAGGCTAAGTATACCTGAGGCACCAAGACTCTTACATTTAACTTTATTGCCCAGGGACTCAAACTCTGGAGAATCACTAACAACTTACTCTTCCCAAGCATCAAAACAGGCAATTAAGGCAAATGCCAAGTCTCTTATGTCACATTTAGTGACTGGAGTTTTTTGAAATTACGCACACACAAAAAAAAATGCAGCATGAAATTAACTATCAGGCTTTGCTTACACATAATTAAAATTACAATAACACTTTAAGTGCTGCCTCATCTATTCCAAAATTTAGTGTGCCTTTTGGATTTTGGCCAAGTTACTCCAACTTACTTACAAAATCACCCAAATGTTTATCCATTTGGAGTGGATCCCACAAAAGAAAACTTGTAACAAACTCATTAAGCAAGCAAGCTGCTGTGCCATTTGTCCTCTGTGACACAGCATTATTATTATCCTTGAAGTATATTTATCAAGTAGGGTTGTTCAGGACTTTGGTTAGGCCTTTATAGTGAATTACATGTCAGACCTTTAGGATTTTAAAGAAAAGCAATAAGTCATTCTGTGCATAGTAGAATCTTGTGTAATGGAACCATTAAGAGCTGCTTTCTGTACTAGTGGAATTAGATTGTATGACCGTAGCTCATCTTACTCGCTTATTTTATGTCTATTTAGGCTGTTTCCATGTTTTGGTTTTTATAAGCAATACGAAACTGAACATTGTTGAACATCTCTTCTGATGTGAATGTGCTTGAGTTTCTTCAGAGCAGTTATTTGGCACAATTTTTCATGTCATAGGTTTCACAGAAACATTATTATATAATATATAAGGATAAACTGAAAATAGTTTGTTCTTTTTCAAATTTTAGCACCATTTTATTTACTTTATTTTTCTAATTAATTTTTATAGTTATCTTTATATTGTGGATATTAATATTTTGTCAGTTGAATATATTCCAAAATTTTTCTCTCATGCTCAGATTTCTCTTTTCCATGCGCTAATGGCATACATTTTAATTTTAATGTAGTTCCATGTGTTTTGTTTTCTACATCTTCAAAATGTTAGCCTACTCTGATATAAAGATATTATCCTTTGTAGCCTTAAGAGAAGCCAACTCTTATAAGAATTCTTTATGGAATCATTAATATGGAAGGCAAGAATACATTGCTTAGAGAGATATTTTCACTAATGTTTTGCACAGTTTTTACATATCTTTGATCCCTTTGCTTGTGAATTTTGCAAAATTATTACTGAACCATAAAAAAAATTGAGGCATTATACTTTAGAGATGCTGGTAGCATTGTATTAATATTTCCAATAAACAAAAATTATTAATAGATCAATGTCCAAAAACAATTTTGCCAATGTATACAAAATTATCCACAAGTATTCTGAAACTTAATCCAAGCTGCAGTAAACTTTTTTCCATCATGATGAACAAGAATCTGTCTAATCCAGAGATATTGTTAATAATTATACCCAGAACACTAATGTTTGGATTTCTGAGATTAGGTTATCCAAATAAACCAAAATTTTCTGAAATGTTAATTACAATATTGAAGAAACTTTTCAGATTTTCTGAAATCTGAATTAAGTTTGAAGGAAAAGGTTTCCAAATTGAACTTAACAGTTTTTAAAAATTAATCCCAAACCTAATTATGAGACATATTGTTAATAATGGAAGTACTGTTTTTGTGGTGCTGACAAATATAAAACAGTCAAAAAATTATAGAGTATCCAACTTTAGCTGAATGTTTAAAATTAGAAAAAGAAATGTTTCCACAGTACAATAATTAGCAGCACAAGCATTCATATAAAGAAGCATGGTCATCTTTGATTATATTACATCTGTTCTTTGGCTTTTAAAATATGAAATGGGAGCCATATTCTTTGAGGAGACGTCACCAGAAGTCTTACCTAGGTAAACAAGACATAATGCTAAACATTATCAATTTAGTCTGAAATTTTTATTTATTTCCATCTGTAGCTCATCCAGTATGTATTCATTGAAGGCTGAATTTTTAATGTACTTTTCTAAGCATTGGAGATACAAGAAAAAATAAAAACAGAACTTTTAACCATCTTGGAGCTTATCTTTACTGAGAGAAACAAGTAAAAAATTATTCCATGAATTTAAAATATCACCTGCAGCTATGAAAGAACATTAATTAGGCTAAGAGGACAGGGGTAACTGTCACATTATATTAGGTTGTCAAGGAAGGATTCTTGGCAACCTAGTATAACCTGTGTAGAAGGTGCTATTTGAATAGAAACATGTATACTTTCATAGAAATATTCTTATTAAAATTTCTTTTAATACCAAAATATTTTGAAGTATATTAACATCTGCAGAGATTCATTCACATTTTTGTACCTCATGCTACAAGTCTGTGAGTTCAGCATGGGGGTTAACAAGGCATAACATATAGAATTCACTTTCACATTTGCCTGTGAGCTTTTGAAGTTAGTGCACAAGAGAAGAAGGATGGTGGTAATGTGGGAAAAGGGTGAAGAACACTGATGTGCATTGGTAGAGAGTGACTTTTAGAGAAGTTGAAAGCTAAGAAGTGATGACTATGGGATTCCTTAATTTATTGAAATTGACTAAAGCAAAACAAACAAACAAGAAAATCACTATCCCGATGAACTGATCAATCTTAAATGGCAACAGAATATTTATTTTAAAATATGTTAACTGTGTATGCCCACAATAGGCAATACAATGAGAGAATGAGTGTCAGGGAACAGATTATATGCCCCGGTCTAACATCCTGCTGGATGGATGGGGCAAAGCTTGAGGGGCATGGTGACTGTATAATGCATAGGCCTTTCTCAACTCCTGTTCTACTAGTTTCCACTTGTCTTGTTCTGGAAAAACTTTGTCTGCAAAGATTTAAACAATGCAAAGAATTTATTTAAAAGGCAGAGTATGTATGTTAAGATGCATACAAGAATAATGAAAATTTTTTCTAATTTAAATGTTTTTTTAAGTGTTATTATGTTTTTAGAATTATTAAATTTGTATCACTAAAATCATGTTATTGCCAGTAGAAAATAGGATAAATAAAAATTTATTTTAAATGGGCTCTAGGGACTCTACACACAATTAGACATGAGTCTACACCAACAGGATTTTATCATATATGAGTACGCTGGTGTTACTGGCCCTTGGGTCCTCTCTGAATGTCAAAGATCTAAGGAAACATTATATATATATATGTGTGTGTGTGTGTGTGTATGTGTTTGTGTGTGTGTGTGTATCAAATATATATATCATATATATATCAAATATATATATTTGATTCCTTATTGATATATAAAAATATATATTTATTTGATTCCTTAAACATATATATATTACATTTCCTTATATATAAGGAAACATATATATAAATATATATTTCCATGTATATGGGATATATATAAGAAAAAAATGTGTTCATATATATATGTATATATATATATCAAGGTTCTAAGGAAACATTTTATATATATATACATACATATGTATGTATATATGTGTGTATATATATATATATACACATACGTATGTATATATATATATAATGTTTCCTTAGAGCCTTGATATTCAGAGAGGATCCAAGGACCAGTAATACCGGCATCACTTGAAAGTTTGCTAGAAATCCAGAATTCTCTGCACCAGAATGGACATTTACAAACAACACTCTCAGGTGATTTGCATGTATGTGAAGGTTTGAAAATCACTAGCTTTGATTACCCTTGATATAATGGAAAATCTAGTGATCTAAAAAGCTATCATAATGAATTAAAAATACATAAACATTTAATTTTTACTCAGTTTTTTGTATTGTTCTTTATTGCCTTCTTTCTTCTATTCATAAACTCAAGATCAAAGACAATTTATCCTTTCTCCATATACAAGACAATATAGCAATAAGTATGTAATAAGCACATTTATTATGAAGGATAATGATTGAGAATGCTTAATTTGTCATACATGTGTTGAAAGAGAGAGAGTAATGTTTTGCATCCTTTAATAGCACAAAACCATAGACACACACCAAGAAAACCACACAATCCAAGGTGAAATTAAAATTGAAAGTTTTCATTTTATTTCCCACAGCGAACAAACTTTGGATCTCATTATCTGGAAACTGTGTGATAGAATATATGAGTAATTGCTCAGAATTATGGTAAAGTTATCTGTGATCCATGGTGCACAGCTAAGAAAAATTAAGAATAAAAAGGTTTATTTTACATTTTATGGTTGTCTATTTGGTGGTATACTTTATTGTATAAGACGAAGTTGAAAGCTTTGTTTGATGTGAACAGGGTAACTCTGGGTTAACAATTACTGTTTAATCGCTAATGTAATATGAAGCAATAATACCAGTCTCACACAGTCCATATCCTGGGGAAACTTCTATAACACAAACCATGATTAGCAAGAGATAAATAGAGATAATATTTTGGCTTAAAAAGTGAAACATAGATTATATACTTATTTCTGAAATTTACCATAACTCAGTAAGTAGAATTTATAGAATCAAGTTTAACACATAAATTTGTGAGAATTGTGAGATTAACATTTTTAAAAATTTTTATCTTGTAATCTTTCAGGAACTTCACATAAAATCAGGATTTTTACTTGATATTCAGAGTTCATCATGTTTCACATCACTGCCTATGAAAGCACAGGAGGATGTTAGGGAGAAAAGAACAAAGAATTTGGTAGGATCTTAGAGACCATGTCCCAGCTTGTCATTACTTATTCTTAAACATGCACACCCCTATTCAGCTTTTAAGATTTCCTCCATAAGCCTGACATTCTTATTGCTAAACTAGAATTGAAGAATGTTTTTTAAAAAGCTGTTTACCATAGCAAAACATAAAACAAGGGATTTAGGTTTTATGATCTGACATTTACTTGTTATATAAATTCCTTAAGGCTGCCACAAAAAAATACCAAAAATTGGGAGTTTAAAACAGGTAAAATTACCTTCTTATAGTTCTCAAGATAGAAGTCTGAATCA